GAACTTGACACGTGGAAAAATGTGGTTGAAATTATCTTTGAAGATATATAAAGGGGCTGGCTGTGGAAATATCCTTGCTGAAAAAGAAAAATATTAAGGAAACTTTTAAATGTTCTTCAGGGTAACTTTAGGTTTCCCCAAACATTAGATTATAAATTATTAGCCTAGAATTTGCACCTGCCTTTCTCTTTTCCAGGGGTTCTTTGGTCAGTATTTAAAAACCAACAGCAAGCCCTGTGTGGTTTTGTTCAGCGGTTAGAGCATTGGTCCGTGGACCAAAGGGTTGCGGGTTTGATTCTGGTCAAGGCATGCACCCGGGTTGCAGGTTCAATCCCTGGCCCTTGTTGGGGTTGTGCTGGAGGCAACCAGTTGATGTCTCTCTCTCACTGATGTTTCTCCCTCTCACTCTTCCTCCCTTCCACTATATCTAAAAATCAATGGAAAAATATCCTCGAGTGAGGATTAACAAAAAATAAATAAAAACCAACAGTGAAAAGTTGGTAAACTGGACTTAAGTCCTCTTATGTATTATGTAGAAGGAATGCACTGGGAGGTTGCTGATGAGGTGCAGGTCATAGTGTAGTGGGGTTTCCACTTGTAGAGTAGCCACAGAACCACTTTTCAAAGCGGCTTACTTTTTATGTCAACCTTAAATGTTTAACTATGTGGCAGACATCCCTAATACTTTACTCTTGAAATTCGCAACTTTTCTTCTTAGCCTGACTTCCACAACACTGCTCCTACCATGATGATGGTGATGATTTCCTTTTGCTTTGGCTCTAATATTACTTATTTCAGTTGTTAAGCTCTTCATTTCTTACTGAGTTCTGAGAATAAGAGTAACACTGCATAGTGCAGTCTATTTTAAAAAAATTCATCCTATGTTATTACCTTTGAGCTTTTATGAAATATCTGTGAGGTAAAAACATGTGGTGGGATTCTTCCCATTTCACTGATGTGGAAACTGAGTCATTGAGAATGTGCTTTCAATCACTATCACAATGATAGGAGGTACTTACTGACCCACAGCCTACCAAGAAGTGGAAAAGGCTCAAAGGATCAGAAGCCTTTCATCTGAATCCTAAGCCCTTCTCTCACCCCACTGAAGTGCTCACTCACCAGATGCTCCATGTTCGGTTACAAGCACCTGCCTCCTCCTGGGGCAGCCCAGGCTGGTAGCTCTGAGGATGACAACTCATGAGTCACAAATGGACTTCTCACCCTGGCCGGTTGGGCTCAGCGGTTAGAGCATTGGCCCTCGGTCCAAAGAGTTTCGATTCTGCTAAGGACACGGACCTCAGTTGTTGTTTGGTCCCTGGCCCTGGTTGGGGTTGTGTGGGAAGCAGCCACTCGATGTATCTTTCTCAAATCAATGTTTCTCCCCTCTCCCCATCCTTCCCTCTCCCTCTCTCTTTCTGGCTGAAGATAAATAGAAAGATATCCTAGGGTGATGATTTTTTTTAAAAATGGACTTCTCTTACACTTTCTCATAGGTCCTGGAGTTCTGCCCTCTGACCAGACACACACACTTTATATCTGCATGGTCTAGTAAAAAATAAGTGTTTGATCTTTTTTCTGGTTTCTGACATAGAGCTCCTAAAACTTTTAGAGTTTCTTAAATAATAGTGTCTTTTGTATGCCAATGAGAGGATTCCCTTACAGAGAGTGGGAAGGGGGACCCAAGATGTTTCAGAATTGGAGTTGCCAGAGCTACCAGCCATGTGGTTAGAAGGTTAGAATTGCAGTTTATTCTCTGACCTCCAGGGAGGGGAGCGGGGCTGGAGATTGAGCGTAGTCAATAAAGAACAATGATTTAATCAATCATGCCTATGTAATGAAGCTTGAATAAGAACTCTGCAGCAACCAGACAGAGGGAGCTTCTGTTTTGGTGAGCACACTGATATACTGGGCGGGTTGTACCTGGACAGGGAATGAGGCTGTATACCACCAGCCCTTGCTCCCATCCCTTGCCCCCATCCCTTACCCTCTGCATGTCTTCAATTTGTCCATTCCTGAGTTACAGTCTTCACTTTCCTGCATTCTGTTGAGTCATCCTAGCAAATTATGGAAAGTAAGAGGGAGGAGCCGTGGAAACATCTGGGTTTATAGCCAGTTTGTTGGAAGTATGGGTGGTCCTTGGGACTTGTAACTATTGTGTGAAGTGAGGGCTTTATTGTGGACTGAGTTCTTAAACCTGTGGGGTCTGTGCTAACTCCAGGTAGTGTCTGAATTGAGTTGAATTGGAAGATACTCAGTTGGTGTTGGAGAATTGAAGTGATGGGTATTGGAATAATGAAGTTGTTTGTGACAGAGGAAAACAGTTCAACTGTGTTCCTTCCCAGTGTTTGCCTTGTGCTTTTTGTTACATGGGATCCCTCAGACTTTTACTAGGCCTTTCTCTAGATCTTTCTCAGACTTGAGTATGCATAATAAAATTGGATCAACAGACTAAATCATATTTTAAGTATGTGGTTTTGTTCAATGGTGTGTTACCACATTATATTTAAATGTTCACTTAAAAATATATAGTATCATATTCATCTGTCATCCCTCCATCTGATATGCTTGGGTGTATTCTCCATTTAACCATATGTGGATGACTTGGTAGTGCACTAGCAAGAATATACAAAAAAAAAAAAAAAGATATTATGTGAAAACTATATCTGTATTTAAATGTTGTTTTAGATAGGTGGATAGGAGTTGTAAAAGGAAAATCATGTCTGGAATTAATAATTTCTGTACAGCTAAATGGTTAAAAATAAAGTCTAGAATTAAACTCCTTGAGTTCACATTCTGGCTTTACCGCTTTTCAATTGTTGAACTTGTACTTCACCCACACTCAGCTCTAGTTTTGTCATCTATAAAGTGGAGATAATAATGATACAGCATAATTCCTGATGAGGATGTAAAAATTAATGCAGAATACGTAAGATAGTACCTGCCAGACATATATACTTAGTAAATTTTAGCTGCTATTACTATCATTATCACTATTACGACCATTATAACTGCTACTATTATCATGCAACTAATACACTTCCTTTTTTATTAAAATTAATTCATAGCACAAAGTGGTTGTATTGGCTTATAAACTCTTCTAAACACATACTTACAGCAAGCTATATTGGGGATGTGAGTTCAATCGATTCTGTTAATACACTAAATACTGTCGTGTTAAAAATACTTTATGCACTCTCTTTTCTGAGTTACTGTCTCAATTTTAAGGATCACAGGAAGGAGAAACTTGAGTAGCAAAAAACTGTGCCCCAGTATAACTTCAGAGTGGTTTCACTACAGTGGGAGCCAAAGGTGCAAGTATCGTCACTGTAGGCAAAAACAACCATTGTGTGTGGCTCTCTGAAGAGTCGTCACTGGACTCAGTAAACTGTATCTATGAATTAGCTTGCTAATTGTGTTTACAACAAAATATGTTATAGTTTTCTTAAATATGTTTATTTTAATTGATTTTAGAGAGGGAGGAGGCGGGGGAGAGAGAAACATCTACAGCAATCAGCTGCCTCCTGCATACCCCCAACTGGGGATCAAGCCCACAACCTGGCCTGTGCCCCGACCTGGAATGGAACTGACGACCTCTTGGTGCATGGGTCGATGCTCAGCCACTGAGCCACATTGGCCCGGGCTGTTACAGTTTTCTTAACAGCTATTAATAGGTTAGAATAGCAACTGTTATTTTGTATGCAGATTGTTTAAAAAACAAAAATAAAAAATCTCCATGTTCTTATACATTTTTCATGCCTGCCTTCTATTCCATTCTGCTGAATCAGGATTGTAAACCATGATTTTTTTTTTTTTTTTAATACATCCCATTTGGTTGGGCAGTTAAGTTGCTTTTGAGAATATTCCCATCCTCAAAAACCTGACTTGCACCTCGTCCTCTGGATTAATTTGAAGCCTGAAAATGGTAGTATACTTAGAATTAGTATATGCATTTTTAATATCATTTTCTATAATTTGTACTAGTGGGAATCCAAAGAAATTTTATGTAAATTTTTTTTGAACCTAAAGTAAATATCCAAAAAGTTGATTTGAGCCATACTGTCTTCTTTGCATACTGTTAATTCTTTTTCCTAATGTTGTCTATAATTGTCTATGCAAAGATATTAGGAAGTGATACTTAATGTCAGACCTACTGGTTGGCGAGTACACCCTGATGGTGCCTTAGCACCCTGCTTCTCCACCTGCTCCTGCCTGTGCACCATGAGGCACCTTTGCCCAAGAGGGAAGATCTTTATTTGTTAATCACCACATTTTGCTCAGGGTACCATAGAGAAAGCTTGATATTTGTTCCACATGTTACTCCAGCAGCCTCTGATACCTTTCATTCCTGTGGTAGATCCTCTTGGACAATGGAGAGCATGTTCCCTCCTCTTCTTCATGGATTCGTGCTCCCTCTAGAGACTATGGTTTTGAAAAACGTTCAATTATATTGAAATAGGTTTAATTTTAAAAACAGTTCTTCTTTGCCTCTCTATCTGAATACACTGATCATTTTTGTTGTGGTAAATAGAAGTGAAGAATTTTAATTTTAAACATATTTCCTAAGTATGGTTTACTCTAAATTTCATCCAATGTCTTTTTTCTTTTTTTTAGGGAGAGAGAGATAGAAACATCCATGTGAGAGAGAGACATAGATCGGCTGCCTCCTGCACACCCCCTACTGGAGGTCAAGCCCACAACCCAGGCATGTGCCCTGACCAGGAATCAACCGGGACCTCTCAGTCCATGTGATGACGCTCAATCCATTGAGCCACACCAGCCGGGCTAGTTCATCTAATGTCTTCAAGATGCTTAATAAATTTTTTTTATTTCAGGATTTAAAAATTGAAAGTTTTAACAACTTTACTGAAATTTACTTTTCCTTTATTATAACAAATTTTACTTTTTATCGTAAGGTTTTTCACAAAAATTTTTCTAGAGTGTTTTACCTTTTCTGTATTATAATTTTATCCTTTCAAAGCATTTAATATGCTTTCTTTCAGTCTCTGTAGAAATGCTGGAAAAGAATTTGAAGCAGATGGGAAGGCAGCTTCAACAGCTTGAGCGAGATTTGGAAACCTTTCCCCCTCCTGAGGACACGCACGATAAGTTTGTGACAAAGATGTCCATATCCTTTTGATATCTCAATAACTTAAATTACTAGTCAACTAGAATTACAAATTATTTAACATTTTAAGTACACTCACATAACCAGAGATCATTCTGTAGTTCTAAATTGTAGGTTCACTCTTTACCTTCTTACAAGGAAATGTATCAAAGTGTTTATCATGAACAATACAGAAATGTATTCTGTTGATTTCCATTTTTTCCTTCCTTGTTATCAATTTGGATAATATTTTTTCTCTTTTCCCTTCCACATGCCTTATTTCCCTTTGAAGTTCATGGTAGATTGAAAGGATATGAAACCTCAATTTGAGGAAGTTTGACTCTAACATCATGATGTGATTGAGATATTTTAAAATGTTTCAGGATAAAGACTATAAACTGGTGTAACTAGTCAGCACAGTTTCAGGGATTGGTATGGTATATATGAAAAATTGACTCATGTTCCAGAAACTTCACTATTTTCTTTAGAAATAATACATAGTTCCAAAGTCAAAATTGAATTTGTTACAATCACTACTTGTGTAGATATTCTCCAATCCTAAAATAAAATTGGCGAATATATGTATATGTATATATACACATGTACATATATGAAATTAATAGTATGAGGCTTATGTCTTGATTAAGTTAGGTTTCTTTTGAATTCAATTATCTTTGGTTTCACTAACTTTGTGACTCAGTCTCTAATGAGTAATTGAAATAATAAACTTTATTTCCTGAAACTGATGTTGAGTTGCTTTGCAAACCATTCTATGAAATTAGAGACTGATATATTTTGTGTTAAAGTATTACTAGTATGCATTATTAAAATCCCATATGGACTTCAGAATTCTACATGAAAGTATAACCCACTTTTAAAATGAGCACTTAAAAATAGACACTCCTAATATTTTATTTTAAACTGAGTTACTTGAAATAAAATAACTACTTTTCCTCTTTCTATCGCTTCTCCCCTGAGATTTGGCAAATCACAGAATTATTATTTGGCTTGTCATAGATTTTCTTGTATATGCTTTCAGCTTAATTGTGAATTAGTTCAACGTTAGCTTTCTTGACTGTATCTTTTGAGAAACACCACAAAATGCACTCCGGCGGGAATGAGTGCTGGCTGGTATGTCTGTTTCCTGTCTTTCCTACCTGTCCACTTCCCTTTATGAGGCAGGCCCCCGTTAGCACTGCACTGGAGGTGGCTGTCTTTTTAAAGCTAAAAATGAGATCTGTATTTATTTATCGAAAATATATTTTATAGTACCGTCTCATTTGGCAACATAGTGTTTTTAAAACTAAATTTGTTATTGCAGAGTTACCTTAGTTTCACCTTTCTTAGCTTTTTCCTCAATCATTTTATCATGTTAAAATAGTCATATATTCCAGTTTATTTTAAACATTAAGTACTATTAATTGAAGTACTTATTATTGTTCCCCACAGATAGAAAGCGTTTTAGGAAAGGTTTTGCTTGCATACAGTGTCTGGTAATACATTGTGAGTGTGTTAATTATGAAGGTCAGGTTTCTAGAACATAGAACCCAAGATGAATTTCTGGGCTTAGAGGAAAGGTTGAAGAGTCATGCTCAGCAGATGATCTCAGGACCTAACAATACTTGTATTTGTATGACGCAAAAAGTTGAATGATGTCGGCTTCTTGAAAGGTATGCAGCTCCTAAAGAGCAGTGAGCAGGAAATCAGACACAGGAAGGATGGTGCTTTGTTGGCAACAATTTTTTATTCTGAGTACAATTATACTCCATGGACATGAAAGCTACTACATCCTGTCGCTAAATATCACAACCTACAAGCCTCTAATGAACTGATTAGCATTCATGTATCTCTTGGAAGTCAGATATCTGAACAGTTGGTGCACTTTGCTATTGACAAAAGCTTATGATCATAAATATTCTTTGCTGAGATTAGATTGCACACGTTTGCTTTTCCTCTCAGACATACTAGTTTCGAAGAAATTAAATTCATTCATTGCAAAGCTTTGTTGACTTTAATTAGGACTGACAACAAATCAGATGTTGAATATTAAATGCATTTATACAGATCTTATTAAAATGGCAAATTGCGAGCTTCTTGGATCTTAGAAAATGGAAGAATTTGGAAATGAAAACACACAACAGATAAAAATATATTTAATGCCCTGTCTCATTTGACTTAGCAGTTAGGGTGTCCACCCATGGACCAAAGGGTCTCGGGTTTGATTCTCAGTCAAGGGCACATACCTGGGTTGCAGGTTCAATCCCTGATCCCGGTGGGGCTTGTGCAGGAGGCAACCAATCTATGTTTTTCTCTCACACTGATGTTTCTCTCCCCTCCTTCCCTCCCTCCCTCCCTCCCTTCCATTCTAAAAATGAATGGAAAAATATCTTCCATTGAAGATTATCAAATATATATATATATATATATATATATATATATATAACTAAAGTTTGGGTTATTAATGCTCAAATTTTGTTTTAAATTTTAGAGTTTATTAGTTGAAGCACATATCATATGTTTGATTTGTCAGCCAATTCTGGGAGAATAAGTATATTATCCAAGTTGTTAAGGATGAATTTTTACAACTAGATATTTAATATAAACAATCATAATTTAGTGAACTGTTAAATAATCTGTTAGTCAAATTGTCTTAAATTATATAATTCTGTTGTTATAGGAAATATTACTAATAGCATTCAATTACAGTATATTGTATTTTTATTTTTTCATTACATGTTCTTTCTTTACATATACTTCTCACTATTTTAAAAAATGTGAATTTAGTACATCCTTTAAAAGGCATGCTCAAATATTTCACACATATCACACTGACTTTTAGTAATAATGATGTTACTTTCCAGTTGCTAAACCTGCTCAGAAACATAGAGTTGAACAGTTCCATTGTAAATATTTGCTTGAAAAATGCATAACATAAATTTGAGGTAGGGTCATTAATATTGTTATATCAAACTAATATATGTGAGGTGTACACACACTGTAAATTCTTACCAGTGAGAAAATTAAGAAAACGCCAGGATTTGTGTCATGCAGTGCTTGTTCCTTTCTTTCGACCTTCAAATTCTGGAATCTTCCTTATTTTAAGAGGAAAATAGATCTTAGAATATTACCCTTAAAATTCTCCTTGAACAAGCCTTAATCTTTCTGTTTCCCTCTCTTCCTAACTCCTTTCCCTAGTCTCTTAGAAAAAAATAATTTTGCTAGACATTCATGTTTTTATATTTATCACAACTATTGTTACAAGGTACTTGATTCTTATGTTATCAATCTTTAAATTTCTTCATTGCAATCCCGCTTAATTTTTACATTTTCTTTTTTATTGTTCCACTATTTAGCAATGTTTTAGTCACTTCTGAAATGACTATGTAGATGCTAAAACTGTCTCAATAAATTCCTTGAGTGAAAGTCATCTATATCCAGCACTACATTCAATACAGCAATTTTTAGGTGAAGGAATTCAGTACATTTTTATTTCACTGAACTGTAGGAAGTAAAACAGAGGCATGGAATGGATGAAATGTAAACTTGTATAATTCATGGTCCATTTACGGGAGTGGGACGTTGGGTAATTGGTAATTGGGTCAGTTGTAACAGCAGATTTTTTTTTTTTCCTCTCACCTGAGGACACTTTTCCATTTTTTGTTCAGATAGAATGGGAGGGAGAGAGAGAGAGAAACATCAATGTGAAAGGGACACATCGAGTGATTGCCACCCACACAACCCAACCAGGACCGGGGACAAACTGTAACCGAGGTACGTGCCCTTAGCAGAATCCGAACCTGGGTCTCTCCGGACCGCAGGCCCGTGCTCTAACCGCTGAGCCAAACTGGCCAGGGCAAGAGCAGATTTTTTTCTCTTCTCTTAAGTTAGTCTTCTTTCTCCTCCTTTCTTTCTCCCTTCCTGTGTTCATTTAACTCATTCATTTTTTTTTTATCTTTACCTGAGGACATTTTTCCATTTTTGTTCAGATAGAGTAGGGGGTGGGGGGGGAGTGAGAGAGAGAGAGAAACATCGACGTGAAAGGAACACATCGAGTGGCTATCTCCGCACAACCCCAACCAGGGCCAGGGATAGACTGCAACTGAGGTGCATGCCCTTAGCGGGAACTGAACCCCGGTCTCTCTGGACCACAGGCCGACGCTCTAACCGCTGAGCCAAACCGACTAGGGCATTATTCTTTTTTTTTTTTTTTTTTTTATCCTCACCCGAGGATATTTTTCCATTTTTTGTACAGATAGAGTGAGAGGGAGAGAGAGGAAGGAGAGAGAGAGAGAAACATCGATGTGAAGGGACACATCGAGTGGCTGCCACCCGCACGACCAACCACGGCCGGGGACAAACTGCAACCGAAGTACGTAGGGCATTATTCTTAGCAAACTTGTAAGACTTGGGTTAAAATATCCTGCTCCTCATCCTGTGCAAATCTTCAAATGTATATTGATCTTTTTCTTCTCTGAAGTCTTACCACATTCACAAACGTTGCTGCGCAACTTAGCACTCGCTGCTGTTTGAATTACTCAGTCAGTATCCCTTCTTCGCCAGGGCTTCCCTGACTGTCCCGCATAAAGTGGTCTGTCACTCTGTATAACATCACTGAATGTTTTCTTCATCATACTATCACTGTCAGAATATCTCAGTCATTTTTTTTTTTATCTGTTCCTAGACTGTAGAATGTAGGTTTCACAAAAGCAGGGACTTTGCATATCCTATTAACTACTGTTTGCCTAGAAGAGGGGAATACAGAGGAGTTCAGTGAATACTTACAGATTGGCTGGCTGGCCGGCTGGCTGGATCCTGGGTACTTAAGAAGATGTATAGAAGGTATTGGACATGTATGACTGATTGAAGCTGGTCCTTATCAGATGTGTTATAGGAGTAATAGACATCTTTTGTGGGAACTGAAAATAATGAAGGCAAGACATAAGGATAAATGGAGAATGTATTAATTCCAGATAGTTTGGGAATGAGCTATACTTGTTGACCAGGAGCTGAATCCCAAACCTTAGCCTTGCTACTTAGTTGGCCCACACTAAGTGTTAGTAGTTCAGCATGTGTCAACCTCCCTTTCAAATGAGAGGGTTACAGTGTTTCGTGTAGAAATTCATGAGAATTTGGCCTTTGTCCAGGTGAAGGAATAGAAAGTAGATTTCACAGAAACATTAAGTGAGCAGATAAATATCAATAATTTTGTAATGAGCTTTATAAAATATTTATTTTGTTGAGAAGCTCACCTATTTTTCTAATATAAATATAGGACTTTTTTAACAGGCGGGGGGGAGGAATAAAGCCTTACTACTATGAAGATGGGCATGAGTTTATCTACAGGTTAACCGTTGGCACAAGAACACCTACGTTTGTTTTTCTTTTGGATGATGATGATGATGATGATTGTTTTGTCTGAGTGTTTCACCATCTCTTAATGAGTAGCCCATCAATAATGACATAGGGCGACTCATTAATGTAACCATTTATTCCAGCTTATCAGACAGTCATTTTAAACTTCTAAGAATTTGGCTATTTCTAAAACTGTTTCAGTTTAATCAGAGTTTTATCATTCTTGTTGGTAATTCCAGTTATTCAAAGCTCTACTTTATTTTCCTTGGAAGCAAATAGCTTTATAGATAACAGTTATTAAAAAGTTAACTTATAAAGGCTCTCCAGTTTTAGAACAAGACCACATAATTTTCATGATTTCGACTCTTCTTCTTCTTCCCCATCATACTCTCTAATAGAATTATACTGTTTTGATTAAGTATGCCCCGGCATATTCTAAATAATTCATTAACTTTTGATTTGTGTCTGAAAATCTAAAAAATGTTATTGGATAATACTTACAACTTTAACTTAACCTATTTACCAAATTGATTCTTGAGAATAGACATATGTCCAGGCATTAGAATAAAGTTACTGGGATTTGTGAAGTGCCAATTTTAAAGCTCAGCGACTTGTAAGCAGTGATGGAGGCAGAAAAGTAGTAGCTGTAGAGCCATACAATTAGAAACACCCACAAAAATAGGGTAATCTATTGTCAGGATAACTACTGAACAGGGACTCTCTTAGCTCTTAACATTACATGGAGATTGTTTGTGTATAGGAATGCATGTATGTGCATATTTCATCAGAATTTTGAGAAGACTTTCACCAAAATTTTGAGACCTCTTACCCTTCTCACCAAAGTTCAGAAATGATGACACCAGGGTGAAATAAGTAATTGGCACCAATGTAATTGTGGATGATTAGATTTAATACAACTAGGAAGGTTGGATCAGCATTTAGAGAAGGGGCTGACAGGGGTGACCATGTCCCCAAAATGGGGCGAGAACAAAGCACTACTAGGGAATTGGATTAGAAGGGAAAATTCACAGCATCATTACAGATGAGTATGATAAGACTACAAATGCTATATATATTCAGTGGAAAAAATTATCCCACATCGCCGTAGAGAAGAAAGCTTCGTGGAAGAGGAAGAATGTAATGAATCCTTGAATGGTAGGTTTGTACCTGCAAAAGCAGAAAACAGTTTCTTTTTTAGACAGGAATTAAGAATACTATATAAATAATCCATATGGATACAGTCTCTACCTGGGACATAAATAATTTTAGGTGAAAGTTTATAGATTGAATAGCTAAACCAGTGTTGATTTCTGAACTTATTAAAGGAATTATTTCACTTTACAAATGAATCACCATATGTTCCATCTAATGATAGTTTCTCAATGCATGTCAAATACGGTTTTTATTTACGTCAGTTCATTTTACCTACAACATTTTACGAATGGATATTTCACAAGACAAAGTATATGGAAACCTGTTCTGTGTGATTATGTTGTTATAATTCCCTATGTTTTTGTGATGTGACTAATTACAAGAAATTTTTGTTGCTCATCTAAGAATTAAAAAATGATATCACACATAAATGCATTAGCCACTGGTAGTATTATGATCTAGATTCTAGAAAGTATAATGAAGCATTTTGCTGTTCATTTGGATATAAACTGAGCCACAAAAAGATCTATAGATTTTTCTTAAGATCATTAAAAAAAGTTTAGCCCTTGCTTTAGAATTCAGATTCCATATATCCTAAAATACTGTACACACATACTTATATGTGTGTGTGCGTGTATACGTATGTATATATATATAGAGAGAGAGAGTGCGCGAGCGAGCAAGCGTGCACCTAGTATGAAAAACAACAGACTTAGAAGAGCAATAGGCGACTGTGGCCCGTGACATGGTTCCCATGGCTGTGGTTGGCAGGGCTGCCACGGCTCCTTGTGGGAGGCTGAGCTCTGATAGCTGGAATTCTTCTGTACCCCCAGATTCATGGCCCATCTGGCAGCAGTGCTGCCTCTTTCATCCTTGGTCTTGCCTTTTTTTTTTTTAATCCTCACCCGAGGACATTTTTCCATTTTTTGTTCAGACAGAGTGGGAGGGAGAGAGAGGAACAGAGAGAGAGAGAGAAACATCGATGTGAAAGGGACACATCAAGTGGCTGCCACCCACACGACCCAGCCAGGGCCAGGGACAAACTGCAACCGAGGTACATGCCCTTAGTAGGAACCGAACCCGGGTCTCTCTGGATCACAGGCCGACGCTCTAACTGCTGAGCCAAATCGGCCAGGGCTGGTCTTTTTGTTTTTTATTTTTTTCTCAAAGTGAAGGGCGTGGATCATTTGCCTTATTTTATCCTCCACTGGGGAATCTCTGACTAGAGGAACTGCATCTTTTTGAAGTTGTGGAAAATTTTTCTTTTTAGATATAAACATTCCATTTTTGGATTGCTTCTCTGAGTCTGAATCTAGTTATTCCTGTTACTGGCATTTAAAAAAAAAGAAAAAGTGAGTGTGCTGATATCTGTTTATCCTTCTGTGCTAGAGATGATAAGATGAATTGAGTAAGTTTGATTCTGTATGTTCCATTCATTTAAATGCCTCAGTTTAAAGGAACCATAGACAGTTCCGACTGACGCTCTAACAGGGTCATATTCTCAGACCGTGGTGACTGTGTCTCTGACGGCATCAGCACTGCATCACTCACAAAGGAGTCCTTCCCTGTTTTGTTGAGAAGATGTGTTCTGGTGCCCCTACCACATTCACCTCAAGTCTTCTCAGTCTCAGTGTGCTTTGAACTGAGTTGTCATAAATGAGTGAGAGAATATCTTTGTGTGTGTGTATACTAGTACTTTGAAATCGGGTAACACATAGGACAAACTACTAGTTTTTGAAGGATAAGTTGAAACATGAATTTACTCATGTAATATGAGAAGTCTTAAATGTAACTCTTAAAAATTTCTTTTTGGTTACTTTTGCAACCTTAAATGAAGCTTAAAATGAATAAGTGGGCAGTAAAATACCCCAGTTGTTGTTTTTATTAATCCTCACTTGAGGATATTTTTTCATTGATTTTTAATGAGTGGAAGGGAGGGAGGGAAGTGGGGTAGGGGGCAGAGAGAGAGAGCGAGAGAAACATCAATGTGAGAGAGAGACATAGATTGGTTGCCTCCGAAACGACCCCTACCAGGGCGGGGGATCCAACCTGCAACCCAGGTACGTGCCCTTGACTTAAATCAAACCCTCGACCCTTTGATCTGCAGGCTGACACTGTAACCACTTAGCAAAACCAGCTAGGGCTAAAATAACAAGAATTTATATGTATTCTAAATTCCCTTCAGTTTTCTAAGAACTATGTATTAGTTCATTTAGTCCTCACAACAGCCATGTTAAGATAGGTGATATTATTATTATTATCATTTTATAAGTGGGGAAATTTTGGCACAGAGAGGTGAAGCATTTGCCCACAGGCAGGGTACTACCAACTGTAGGAGCTAGAATTGACCCCAGGTCATCTAGTTTAACTCCTGTGCTTAATACCTAGGTTACTGATTTCAGTACTGTTGAAAATACTCAGTTGCATCTGCTGAACTAGAATTTTAAATCATATTTTATGATCTGTATAATATAGATAGCCAAATTGGAAGAAAATTTTATTTGAATTCAATTGTAAAAGACAAATATTCAATGTGTATTTAATTTTTTCTGATAATTTAGCCATAGTTCATTAGAAATTGAATTTAAGTTTTCATCACTGTATAGTATACAGATTGAATTGTAAGAGTAGGTGACTTATAGAGGTTATTTTGGTGTTTTGGAGATGTGTAATGGTAGCTAACAATTACATTGGAAAATTGGACTTAGTTTTGTTTTCTAAAACATTACTTTGAAACTTTGGAATTCCTTGACTATAATATACAGCTTTGTTATCAGTGCAAAGGAGCAATATGTGAAGCTTTCACAGTTACATGAAAACATGGAAAAGCTATACCAGAGCATCATGGGATACTATGCCATTGACGTGAAGAAGGTGTCTGTGGAAGACTTTTTGACGGACTTAAATAACTTCAGAGCCACATTCATGGTATGTTAACATTTAAAAAATTTTTTTAAGTATTTGTATTTATATTATCTCACCTATTACTGTGTTTACTTCATTACTTCATTCCACGCCTGTTGTCTAGTAAAACCTACCTTTTCTAATGCTGCAAGTTAGCTCTAAAATTTCATATTTTAAATCTATTGAGAAATGTATGGTTTATTCCCCTTTTGGCCTTCCCAACATTGAACTGTAATCAGAAATTTTGATTGAAAATGTGACAAATTCTGAAGTTTTTCATAGAGACTCCCCTCCTGGCTGATTGCAGAGCACATTTGTAATAAGTTTTTGGCTATGAATTTGTTTCTTTATACTTATGATCAATTTGTAGTTTTGTGGTATAATTTTACCAAATTCTGTGCAGCTCTTATGAAACCTTTCCCCCTTTTCTTTTCTTAATGCACTGCACAATAAGCTGCCTGCAGTTCGCCTTTGAATGGATTTCACATTCCTAGGGTTTCCTTCAGATACTTTAATAGGGAGGTCAGGTCTTTGATGTGGAATCCTTTCATTTAGGCATTAAAAAGATCTTTTGAAAAGTATTAGCTGATTAGATGGGGGAAAAAAAACCACACATTAAAATGAGAAGGCATTGTTGCCTCCCTAGGGAACTGGTGATACATTTCTGCAAAGAAAAAAATGTTATTCTTAATAGATGGGTAAGTCATTTCTGTATTTCAGCAAATGTTTGTAGGAATTAAAACGTTTTTAAGTGTAAAGGAGAAAAGTTGTTGGATTTAAAGAGCTTTTTTTTTTAATCTCAGGAAAACTTTATTGCTGCATTTATTGTATTTGGTTATCATCACTTGGCTATAATTAGATAGCCTTTTAATAAAAGTCAGTATTTTAAAGGAAAACTAGTCTGTTTACATTAAATACACATTTTGCTTATAGGTCTAGTTTCTCTCCTCCACAAATTCAAAGTGATTCTTTAAATTATATATTTATGCCGGAAGTGTAATAATAAAATATTATGTGCCTATTTGTGTATTGTACTGAATGATATGTTTAATATTTTAATTTTTATAATGTTTTATGAGGCAACATAACTTAGTGGAAGTAACAAAGGCTTTGCAGTCTGAAGGAGGTTTGGATTGCATACTTGTTAAGTGACCATGAACACTATTTAACTTCCTGAGACTCAGTTTTCATATTTGTAAAAGGGGTTGTTGATTTCTTTCTCATAAGAGTATTTAAATATTAAATGAGATAATACATGGTAAACATTTATCATAGCTTTTGGCACATAGTAGTTGCTTAATAAAATATTATTCAGTAAAGGGTTAACTCAGCAAGCTTGAGGTTCTCAAATCCTGAGCATTCCAAAGAAACCTCTGGTCCTCGCCTGAGTCCTGAGAGATCACCTTCAAGACCTTGGCATATCCTACTTGGCGAGGGTGTCTTGGTATAACTAGGACCAAGCTAGATAGTTTATGCTAAAAATGTGATTTATAGTGAATACCTGTTTTGTTCACCTGAGGGACTGGGCTACACTGTGTCAGTTGGCCCTCTGTGGGGCGCTGGAGACTGCATGAGATCACTCATGCAGGAAGTCCACGCCTACATGACTGACCTCCCCCGTGAACAGTCCTGACACTGCGACTTGGTTACGCTGCCCTGGTTGGCAATATGCTTCATGTGTTGTCAGACAGCATTGCTGGAGAAATCAAACTCCATTGGGAGAGAGGACAGTATGATTTTATTCTGTATCCTTTTGCTGTAATAAGCTATAGCAGTGGATAAAACAGCTTTTCTGAGTTCTGTAAGCACTTCTAAAATTTTTTCAAACTCGAGGCTTGACTTGGGGACCCCTGACACAATTATGCATAAATTTATAACGTACATATATGAAATAATATCCATTGTATATTGAGTATTTTCTATGAATCAGACATTTTCCCAAATGCCTTACATATATATCATCAGCCAATCTTCATAATAATTATCCAGCTTACACTGTTACCATCTCTTTGTGGCAAATGAAGAAACTGAGGCACAGAGATAGAACATACCTAGCTCAAGGTGACATAGTTATAAAATGGTACAACTGGAATCTGAACCCGTACAGTCTTCCTCTGGAGCCTGTGCTCTGAAATGCTGTGTCATGCTGCCTCCCATCTTCTATCGCCTGTGTTGTATTTCATAAATAAGACACTGGCATTTGAGGGTTTTCGAATGAGACCATATTGTAAGTGATTGACTTGGGATTTGAATCAAGGTCTAATTCTCAGTCATCCTAAAATCTGGTAGGATTAGAGGGTTCAGGCATTCGGTGGTTAACTTGGCATTTCCGTTACTAAGTGGTGGGCAGAGGGAGAAAGTAAGCATATGAATGAAGAAGGCTTCAGAAGAGGTGGGTAACTGCCTATTTTCAGAGTTCAGATGAGCCCTGGAAGTAGCTATTAGCACACCCACTCACTCATATACACCCTGTACTAAATTAAAATCATTAGAGCTAAATATTTTTTAAAACATTTTTTAGCCCTGGCTGTTTTGGCTCAGCGGTTGGAGCATCTGCCCATCGACCAGAGAGTCCCGGGTTCGGTTTCCACTAAGGGCACATACCTCAGTTGCAGTTTGTCCCCGCCCCAGTTGGGGTCATGTGTATGGCAGCCAATTGGTGTGTCTCTCTCACATGGATGTTTCTCTCTCTCTTCCCCCCTCTCTCCCTCCTGCTCTATCTGAAGATAAATGCAAAAAAATGTCCTCGGGTGAGGATAAAATAAAAACATTTTTTATGTAAATAGTTAATTTAGATAAGAAATTTTTCTTTAGAATAAAAATAAGCATAAAAAAGACTGGAAGGGAAGTACAGTTTTGTACCCATTTTATTCTTCCTTTCTTCCTGGTGAGTATGGTTATACTGCTTGAATTTTAGATACTGTGTCTTTAAAAACACCACAGTGTCAATGTTATTGGAAATTATTCACAAATGAATATCTTGTTTATTCAAAATTTTCTGATCTCTTAGGTTGCTATTTAATTTTATCACTATTCAACTTAGAAAACCAGGTTAACTTTAGTGAGCCACTATGAAGGTCTGTTCTGGAAAGCACATTAATATAATATGCAAAAAGTATATATATTTTATCCTCACCCAAGGACACTTTTTGCATTCATCTTCAGATACAGCAAGAGAGAAAGAGAGAGGAAGAGAGAGAGAAACATCGATGTGAGAGAAACACATTGGCTGCCACCCACATGACTCCAGCCAGGGCCGGGGACAAACTGCAACCGAGGTATATGCCCTTAGCCGGAACCGAACCCGGGTCTCTCTAGACCACAGACTGACGCTCTAACTGCTGAGCCAAACTGGCACGGGCTGCAAAAAGTATATTTCATTTTTAAGAAAATAGTGATTAAATATGTTTGTATTGTTACTTCATCCACTGGCACTTAGTAATACTCCTGCTCATGAATGAGCATAATTTACCGTAAAGTGGCAATCCGTTTTGTGTTACCTGTAAGAAGCTGGGAACCTGTCTTTCCTCCACACCTGCCTTGCATGGACTGTTTCCTCTCAAGTCCCGGCCACTCTACTTGCTGTTCCCTGCCCCTGCCCAGGGGGAGCACTCCCTCCATGTTTCCTGGCCACGTTATTGGATGTACCTTTCTGGTCCTTGCTTGCACGTCACTCATCTAGTTAAGACCTGTGTCTGCCTTGTTTGCCTTTGTGTCTCTGTAATTAGTAGGATACAATAAATAGATCAATTTATTAGGTATCTGATGTTCTCATCTACAATGAGTGATATGCTTTAATAGCTAGCCCATAGTACCAACCAGGTGCCTGGCACCGTATTCATTCACTTAATCCTTAACAACAAACAGATGTGGTATGTATACAGTTATTGTGTCCATTTAAAAGATAAGACAACTGAGTCTTAGAAAGGTTGTGACTTGCTTGTTGTTACACAGCTAGCAAATGACAGCTGAGATGCTAACCAGGGGAGTCTGGTTCTAGAGTCTGTGTAATGTAGGGATGAACTCTATTAACTTCTATTGTAAATAGGAGTTACATTTAATAGACTTACAGGACCAACTTGACACTTAACTCCTTACCCCCAAAATGTGGTCACTTTTACTTTTAATAGTAATTTAGTGTGTGAATAATTTATCCAACAATATTTGTTTTATGATTGCCCCAGATTTTAAACTTAGCACTTAAAGACTGGTCCTCTTTTATTCAAAGCCCTTTAATATCATTTTAACTGATTAATAAAATCTCTCACTGGTGTTACTAGGGATCTCACAACTAATTTGTATAGATATAGCTGGTCTCTCTCTCTTTGTCTGCCTTTTTATAATAGCTGAAGAAGGAATATCCTTTTCAGTCTGCAGCCTCAAGCTATACAGACCAAGATGATAGGTTTCATGATCTCGGAGCTTCCTCTGAGGAAGAGCTCCTCATTCTGACAGCAGGTTAGCACCCTTTTCTTGTTGGGATTTCTCAACTGGGACTTGATTTGTCATCATTGTTTCAACAATCTAGGCAGCATGATCGTAGGGACAGGACAGAACCAAAAAAACAATGACCACTGATTGCTTCTTGCTAGTCCCTGTGCTAGTACTTTACATGTGTCTCACTTGGCCTTCACGCCATTTTGAGAGAGATGGCACGTTACCCATGAGGTTAACGTGACTGCAGAGCAGGGACCGCCATGCCTTGGCATAGGCCCTGCTGCATCGGTAGAGGCTAGGGTTTTAATAGAGACCGCCCAGCTGCAAAGCTTTGACATTTTTGTTTTTTTTAACATTTCTAATTCATTACTGCTCAGAGCATTTGTAAGAAAACTCAAAGTGTAAATTTTTTAAAGTTTTTGTTTTCTTAATAACTTACTAGAGGGAATCGGCACAAGGCATACTTTATTTCCTCTTTGATCTAATAACTTTATATTGATGGACTCGTGATAGAAGAATGCTTGCTGGTCTGCTTTTATTTCAAAGCCTAAAATGTTCTCTTTTAAAGTTAGAGGCCGATTAATGGT